TCAACCATGATAAAACTGGAAAACAATTAATGAATAAATGTTAATACTAAAAGTAATGATGAACTTGAAAGATATTGAAATAAATTGGATAAAAGGTTTAATTCCCTTTCTAAAATAATTGAATTAGTGATACCTTCTAAAACAAGTAAATAACAGTTTTACTTTTGAACAAGGATTATAAACAATTTAAAAAAACCATTAAATCATATCACTGGTTTTTTTCTCAAGAGAATAGAATCTACTGGTGACAATGCTAAAGTATTAAAATTCATAGGTCAAGATTTGATAAGTAATGGAATATGATTAGATATATAATTTGAAAGAAAAATCAGTAGGCCATCAAGGTATAGAGATGAAAAAGTAGATTCTCCAAAATATAATTACTACAGATATATATAAAATTATACTTTGGTAAATTATCAAGTAGAAATAATATTTTATGAAAATTGGTAGGTCCCAAGAAATAATTATTACAGATATATATATAAAATAAAATTATACTTTGGGGTTATCAAATAGAAATAACAATTCATGAAAATCAGTAGACTATCAAGATATAATTATTATAGATATATATAAAATAAAATTATACTTTGATGAATTATCAAGTAAGGACACTACATGCCTCATCATTAGGTGATATTCAAATGAATTATGCAAAACTAACAACTGCTAACAATTCAACACTACATGCCTTAATCTTGATCAGTATTCGAGTGCATTATAACAGTTAACAATTTGGCACTATGCACCTCATCTTTAATTGATATTTGAATACATTATACAAAATCAAGTCACAAATACTATTTTAACATTACATGCTTCAACTCTGGCCCTTGTAGAGGAATTAATCAAAAAGATAAGACACTACATGCCAAGTTCAGACATAGCCTTCACATTGGTTCACAAATGACAACATATATGTGATCTTGTTGTCACACCTAGTGAGAATAACCTGAGGGTTCACATTCCCCTTAATAACCTATCTTGGAGAGTACCTTATATTTGAAATCAATTATAATCACCAAATTGATATAAAATATATCATATGTGACTTGATGACAGATCAATAACCTGATATATAATAGTTCAAGTGTGGTGTAAAAAATGAATCATATCACCTTTGAGTGTGACATAAAAAATTATGCCACAATAATAACCTAGACTAAATGGGAACAACATAATTATGTTGTTCCCACTTACTTAGAGATTGGATAAAACGCCATTTCAAATATTCCAGTTTTATAAAGAAATTTATACCCTCGGGAACAAAAATAAAAAATGTAATTAATAAAGAAATTTATATAAGTATTGGTTCCAAAGGGTGTAACTATAAAAACCCTATGATTATAGAGATTTTCTACATAGTATTAATAAGTATTAGTTTCATGAAAAGTGTGCTTATAAAGAAGGACTTATATTTGATGTGATTGTACAGAGAGGTTTGAAAGTATTATGCAATTATTGCTATGCAAACCTAGTTATAAGATAAAAAAAAGATGAAATAGATATATTTAATTTTTTTTAATTAAATATACTTTTATCTCATGTTATAATGCTAAAATTTAAATAATAAATACTTATAATTATATATCAAAAATTTCAAACCTTTTGAAATCTATATGCTATAAGTCTAGAAAGAGCTCATATTTCAATAAAAAAAAATGCATAATATTTATTTTCTATTATAATTTATATAATGAAATTTTTTTAATTAAGCACATTTCAACTGATTCAAAAACCAGGAATCAAATTCCATACGTAAAATTTGATTCTGATGTGGTAATTATTATGTCGTCAAAAGTAAAAAAGCTTTTGACTCAATTATTGAAATTTAATTACGTCAATTTTCATATGACTCAAATTCCAATTCGTAATTTTAATTGCGTTTGACTAAATTTAATAGTTTTGATGACACGGATAATCTGTTATCTAAATTAATTGTATCACAAAATTTTTTATTTTTTTATGCGTTATGCTCACTTTAGCTGAAGTATGCCCTTTTTTAAAACCCCGAAATAATGTTCTTCATGGTTTTTGTTTCAAAATTTATCATATTCCTTGTCGTTATTATGGCACAAAAATTAAGTATTCCACTTCAAAATCAAAAATTCCGTATAAAAAACCTAAAATTCTTATTAATAACGCAAATAATAAAACATATGATGTAACCCATAAACTTTTGCCTTTACCTATTCCGTTGGGCAAAACTATTCTTCAAGAAAAGAAAGAAAAGACGAAACGTTCCAAAGTTTCAAATCGTCAACTTTTTAAGCAGATTCAAGCACCTGACGAAACTTTTCGTGAAATAACAACATTGAACCTTGCCAAACCAAAGAGATATAGAATTGGTAAATATGATACAAAAGTTGCCATTATTGCAAAGAAAAAATTAGAAGCAAAATTAGGAAATGCGGAACGTGAAAAAGAAGAATATTTGGAGGTAATTAATTTCATGGAATTGATGATGATTACAATTATGTAATAAAAAAAAAAAAAACAGGCAGTGAATTTGTTATGATTTGTTTTATATAATGTTTGGAAAAAGTAAAGTTGCCTCATCTAAGTTTTTTTGCGGGTGCCAAAGTTCCATCTTCATTTCCACCTGAGAGAGTTTCAGAAATAGCATTTGTTGGTAAGCAATTTTTAATAATTGTGATAATGATCAAATGAAAAGTTTATTGATTTATTTATTTATTTTTTTTTTTTTTCTAGGAAGGTCAAATGTGGGTAAATCATCTTTGATCAACACGCTGGCCGATAGTACAGTGGTGAGAACATCAGATAAACCAGGTTTAACACAACAAATTAATTTTTATGCTGCTGGAACTATATTTAATTTGATTGATATGCCTGGTTATGGATTTGCATATGTGAATGAAGAGGAAAGATTACAATGGAAAAATTTAGTCAGTTTATTATAATTATATTTCTAATTTTATATTACTTAATATAAAAGATAAAATATAAGTTAAAGATTATTATTCAATTCGTAAAGTAGATAGAAACATATATTTCAACTAGGAAAACTTTGAAAAGACTTTTTGTAATAATTGATGCAAGACACGGTTAGTTTATTTTTAAAATTCTATACTAATTTAATTTTATTATCATTGAATTTTTTTCTAAAATATTTTCTATTATAGGAATTAAATTAGCCGATATGCAATTTCTTTATATGCTAGAACAGTAATTATTTCTTTGAAATATTCTATTTTTTTTTTTTTGATGTTTTCTTTTTATTTACAAAATTATTAATTTTATTTTATTTTTTTTTAGAAAGGGAATTTTATTTCAAATTATTATGACAAAATGTGATATGGTAGTTTTACCAGATTTAGCACGTCGTCATACTCTTATTAAAGAACGACTAAAAATTTTTAAAAATGGAATTGATCCTCCATTAATGGTATCAGCCAAAAAAGGATCAGGAATTGTAAAATTAAGATTTCTAATTTTGTCTATAGTTGGAGGATTAGAAAGAGCAAGAGAGGTTGCTAATAGAAAAAAGTTGTTTAGATTTGCTAATGTTAAAAGTTGGAGAAATAGTACTTCACGAGATCAACAAAAAAAAGGACCATCATATTATGTTAGATTAAGAAAAGGTCTAAAAAATCCAAGTAAAAATAAAAGGACTGACAGGAAATTCAAGAAGACTTCAAAGGCAAGAAAGTATAAATAATTAAATAATTAATTATATAATAATAATAATATTTTTTTTAAATAAATAAATAACAATTTTATTAAATATTTTAAGTGATCTCTTTATAATTCTTTTTATAATAATTATTATTATTCCTTTCTTAATATCACAGAATCTATATTTTTGAGTAATTCATCTATTTGAATATTAATATTATCTAAAATAAAAATATATAAATTATAATTTTATATAGATATATCTTTATTTATTTGTTATAAAGCAAAATTCTTACCTCTTTGATTTATTATTCTATTTCTACCTATTATTGCAACATTCTTGGTACTAGGTATTCTTAGCCAATCATATTCTACAATAAATCCACATTTTTCAATAATTTTTTGAATATATTCTTGATATGCCTTATACTTACCTGAACTTATTATTTGTTTTTCAAAGGAATATTTTGTGCCAGATAATGCATAAAAACAACAAGGGATTACCATGAATCTAAAAATAAATAAATAAATAAACATATATAATAATTATTCTTGTTAAATAAATATATAAATATCATCTTGGTAAATGAAAAATTACTTTGTATTTTCTGATGATTTTGCTGCAATAATAGGTATCCTGTATTGATTATTTGTATTATTGAAAAATTGAAAGATAAGATATTAAGATATTAATATTAATATTAATATTAAAAATTCAAGATAATCTAAAAATATTACTATTATTTACCAAGGCACAAGTTCATCAGCATGATTTCCAATTATCCAATCAGTTTTTGGATATGTAATCATATTTGGTTGTAATGTTTCAACTATTTTAAAATTGTTGAAAATTTATATATTTAGGATTTGGTTTAATATTTAAATTATTACAACTAACTATTTTTTTTTAATACAAATTAAAAATTAACCTTTGAGAATTGCACCCTTTTCTTCAAATTTATTCCATATTTTCCTTTTTTTCATGTCAATACCAATTCCTTCATATCCTTCAGATGATAATAAATAAGTTAATAAACCATTTCCACATCCCAAATCAACAAAAGACTGTAATCTATAGAAATTAAATTGATATTAAAATTGATATTCTTATTATTTTGAATATAAAATAATTATAAATATATATAAGTTTTATATTTTACTTATTTTGTCCATTCTCTTTTCTTTCTAATTCCCACAAAGAAATCAACCAACTTGCAATTGCAATATCCTCAAATACAAATTTTACAGGATCTGTTTTTTCTGACCAATTTTTAACCAATTCATCAGCATATTTTAATTTAACTTTTTGATACGTTTCCAAATATATTTCTTTTGGAATCAATAAATCATGATGAACTCTTTTTTGGTAACCTTTCTCTGTATTTTGGCACCATTTAAATAATTTTTTAAAAAGTAGTTGATATGCATATTTCTGTATATATCATTTTTTGAAAAATATAATAATATAGAATTAAATGAAATCAAATAAAATAAGCAAAAAGAATAGAAAAAAGAATAGAAAATAAAAATGAACCATTTTTTCAGTAATTTCAAGCGAATTTTTGGATGTTGGTGAATTTAAAGGAATAATTTCGATTCTTATATATGATTGATAGTTGTCTCCTGGGTTGTTATATTCTGCAAATAAATAACTAATACAGGAAACCTATTAAAAAAAATGGTATTTGAATTTTTGCTATGAAAAAAAAAACAACATTTTTAAAAAATTTACTTTTAGATAATAAAAAGGAAGATCAACTTTAACAGATTCTTCTTGAGAACATTCAATAATAGGCGTATAAACTACTCGACTTTCTAATAAAGTTTTGACTTGAATTATTAGTTAAAAATTGTTAATAATTAAAAATAAATTTTTTATGAGAGAAATTATGAAAAGATTGGCGGAATAATTAATTATTTATTTCCTTTAATAATTTATAATAATGATAAATTTATACCATTCACATTTTTTGTCATATAATATTCTACCAATTCTTCTAATTCTTCATCTTTATTCTTTCTTTTGGGAATCAATTTTCTCTTTATACTTCTTACTGGAGTAACTTTTAATAAATCTTGAAATTCTTGTTCATGTTCTGTTTGATGAATATCCAAAAATCTGTTCTGAAAGTCTGTTTCCACATCACTCAAAATTTCGACAGATTGTATAGGTGGAATTACCAAGTGTGCTTCTTTCGTCCAGCGATTCTAGAAAAATTAATCTTTATTATATTTATTTTACATATCATTAAAAAATATGAAATTTGAATGGATTGAATGATAAGGATATAACACTCACAATAACTTCCCAAAACACGTCTTTGGTAAAAGAAACATTTACTTCGGCAATGATATGCCAAGTCTTATTATTCCAATTTCGTGTAGGCACGTTATTTTTGTCATCAAAAAAATAATTAGGTTTAAAGGAGGTGGCGAATTCAGGAGTAATTTTGGATTCCATGATCGTTGTCTCCGTTTTTATGATGTCATTTATTAATTAGAGACTTTTCCCAAATATGGTAACAAACATTTAAGCATAAAAAGGAATCCCCATTTTTGTACTTTTACCTTATTTTAAATTTTCTTTGAAAAAAAAAAAAAATGGCTACAAAAGTTCGTCCAGTTCCTCCTCCTAAGCCTGCGCGATTGTCTATGAGTTCACAAAAGAGGATCTCCGAAATAAGTAGTTCTACGAGGTCGTCAACAATAACTGTAACTGATATACCTTTAAGCGAATCCCCTCCACCAGAACTATCCGAAGAATCATTTAATATTGACGATAGAACTCCCCGCGCTTCCGAAATTTTCTTACCTTCACCAGAGGGTCGTCAAGCTAGGGCTTTGTACGACTTTGTGGGTGAAGTCTCTTATAACGAATTATCGTTTAAAGCAGGAGATACTATTTGTATATTAAAAGAACAGCTCTCTGAAGGATGGTCCTTAGCTGAAAAGGATGGTATAACAGGACTAGTTCCAGAATCATATATTACAGTAAGTTAATAATATTTTATAATTGATTGGTGAAATTTTTTTTGAAATTAATATTCAAACAAAAACAATAATATTTCACAGTACACGACAGAATTCACCGAAGTTTTGAATTCTGAAGTATTATCGAGTTCATTATCAAGTCATTCAGATCGTGATTCGATAAATATAGGTGGAAATAATCATCATTCAAAGAACGAATCCATAACTGGATCGATTTATGGTTCATTAAGTGGATATGGTTCATTAAGTGGATCAACACGGAGTAAAACGCTTTTAGGAGGAAGACAACTAAATCGATTCAGTTGGTTTGTGACAACTGGTGTTGAAGAGTTCATCCTCAATGGTGGAAATATGGAAGGAATTTCTTCAAAGCAGACAGAAGATGGAGAAAATAATGAAAATGGGGAAGTAACCGAATCTGATAAACATTTTATCCAGGTAAAAATTTATTCAAGTCAAAAATTTAGTGAACTAATAATTCATTGTTTAACAATGGTTAACAATTTTTTTTTTTCTTTTGATCTTAAGAGTGGCCCAAATTGGAATGAGAAAGCTCCAATTTTTAAAGTTATGGTTCATAGTCCTGAAAAGAGAGTCAAACTTGGAGGTGTTCAAGAGTACACAATATTTTATGTTACATCTATGGTAATTGAAATATTTTATTTATTTATTTTATTTAATTCTTTTTTTATGTATTTTTTTTTTTTCATTTTATTTTATTTTTGATTAATTATGATTTTCTATCGAAATAGTTTTCAGGAGGTGTTCAGGTTACAGTTGAAAGACGGTTTAGCCAGTTTGAATGGTTATACAATCGTTTGGTCGTTAAATTCGGTGCTTTAGTATTGCCACCTCTTCCCGAAAAACAATATACTGGTATAATTTGATAATTTTAAATTTTTATGATAAAGAATAATAAAAAGCAATATTTAATCTTTGAATTATATATAGGTCGTTTTAATGAGGAATTCATAGAAAAGCGTCGTTCTGCGTTGGAAAGGTTTATTAATCGTTTAGCTCGTCATCCAGTAATTAGATATTCTGATATCTTAACTCATTTCTTGAGTTGTAATGATGACTTAGTACGTATTAATAAGAAATAGTTTTAACAAGTTGATTCTATATTAATTAATTTTATTGATTAATTTTTATCATTCATTAACAAATAATAGGAATGGCGTAAGCAAGAAAAGGAATTTGATTCTGATAAAATTGTTGGTCATTCATTCTTTCAGCATGTTTATCACCCAGAATTTAATGTAGATGATGGGTAAAAAACTTTAGATCTTGATATATACATAAATATGATTATAGTATTTACTTTTATTTTAATTAATTTATTCAGGGATGTTGAAATTATTGAGCGATTCGCGGCTCATGCTCGGGCAATGGAAAAATCAATGCCATGGATAAATGAAGCATCTCAAGCACATAAGGATTCTTTAAACGAAATGCAAAATCAATATCGTCGAGTAAGTTATGCATTGCTTAAATTAATTACTGGTTATGATGCTGGAGAAGATTGTGAATGTATAAACGATGAAGGAGCTTGGTGTTGGAGGGATGGATGTAATGGTAAGTTTTGAAAAAGTAGTAATCAAATGAATATTTAATAAATATTTATCAATATGATTGATCACCTCACTTTTGTCTTTTTTTTTTTTTTTATCTGTAACAGTTTGTTTAAGTCTTACTAAAGCAATTCAATCCACCGCCGAAAGTATGCAAGTGATAGCGGACATGTATGATTCTCACGTATGTAGGAGAATAAATAAAATATTCTAATTCATATTAACTTATTTCATATTATATTTCATCACAATAATATGACAAATCATTTAATCTTATTTTAGAAAAAAGAAGTTATTATTCCTTGGATTGAAAATTTCAAAGAGTATAATCAACCAGCTACTAATTGCGAGGTATTTAACAATTATTTTAATTATTAAAAGTATGTTTATTATTATATATATATAACTGTTTATTATTAAGGCCTTTATTCAAATTTTTTTATTCTTTAGCAACTAATTGATATGCATGCAGGAGCATATAAAAAATACAAAGATGTCTCTGATGAAGATATAAGTCAAGATCAATCAGAGGTAAATATTTTAAAATATTGTCTTTTGCCTATCAATATATTTCAATATATCATTATATCATTTTAATTTGAATTTTCTTAAAAAATAAGGACACAGACATTGAAGCCATAAGATCACGTTGTGATACTGTATTCAATGTAACTCTTTCTGAAGTAAATAGAATTCATGATGAACGTGTTCAAGATTTTCAAGAGAATACTAAACAATATCTGGATGGACAAATTCAATTTTATGAAAAGGTTAAAGTTAACTTTATTATTATCCATTTAGATAGTTTGTGAATTTTACCATTTATTATTATATATTTATTTTTTATTATCTATTAGGCTCTTGAAGAACTTCGTCAAGCACGGGCTAACTTCGATGAACCTCATTATTCAGCTCTGTCACAAACACCACGAACTCCAAGTCAATACAATGCTTCAATCGATGAACAACGACCTTCTATTTCACGTCCTGTTTCAATTGTATCTGTCGGATCGATGTCTGGCATGGTTGGTGGAGTTGTTGATGGCGTAGGAAGCATGGGAAGTTTCTTAAAAAAGACAGCTAGAACTTCTATTGGAAGCAGTTCAATGTTTGATTCCTGGTGGGGAAGAGGCTAATTGACATTTTCGGATTTTTTTTTATTTTTTTATTATATTGCTTTAATATTTATTGTTAATGGATTGAATTGAGAAATTGACATTTGTATTTAATGAACAATTTTTCTCATGTTTATACGTTTTCATTTAATGTTCATTTTGTATCATAATCATAGACATAAATCCAATGTACATTTAATCAATTAGCATATCTATTTTTATTTTTAAAGGCGTATCATTTTATTAATTTTTTATTATTATTATTAAAAATCATAAGGATCATTTTTCCCTGTTCCACAACCAATTTTTTCACTTGACTTTATGACTGCATTTTTTTCTTTAGAGTCAGTACGTCTTTCATTAATTCCACCTTCAGGTGGCAAATGAAAAGTTTCAATTGAAAACTTTTTTCTTCTTAACTTAAATCCCAAATTATTTTCAGTCCCATTTCCTGCTAATATTGATAACTTTATTGAAGGAGGTATGAGAGAATTAATTGAAGGTAATTTATGAACATGAAATAAACCATGATATTCTGCACTGTAGGCAGAATTAACAGTTGCAGATGAACCTTTATATAATTTTTTATTTCAGAAACCATGAATGAGTGAGTGAGAGTGAGTGAGTGAGTGAATGAACAAGTGAATGAACAAATGAATGAATGAATGAATGAGTCTTTTTACCTGCAAACGATTCTAATTCTATCACAGCATCACTTATATGTTCAATGCGTCTTATAAATGAACCATATAAATATGCTGGAATCGTTATCACTGCTGAACTATATGAAAATCTTAGCAAACTGCGTAAAGCATGGAAAAATATGAAAATATCCTAACAATTGATCAATTTTTTATTAAATAAATTATAAAATAATATTTTTAATTTGAAATAAATGAAACTGAAGAAAATATACTTGAGGAGAATTGGACTGCCAAGAAGGTGAAGCAATAGAATGTATTCCAATTCTCAATATATTTCGTTGCTCAATACCTTGAGTGGAAACTACTGATCTGTTAAATAAAAAAAATATTAAATTATTTAAAAATTATTTAAAAATTATTTCGATTATTATTTAAACAATAATTAAAGAAAAAATAATCTTCTCCATAAAACAACCTGAAATTTTTATCCACAACTTTACGAATCATGGACAAAAGTTTATTAAATGGATTCTTATATTCATTGTCCCATGTACATGAATCAATTAATGTCATTGATGCTGAATCAATCGCGGATTGTGGAATTGATTTTGTTAAATCAAAAGACTGACAAAATGGTTTTTCTGTTCGATGAGATTTTTGTATATTTTGAAATGCTATAATAAAAAAAATAAAAATATAAAAATATTAAAAATAAAATAAATCAACAGAATTAAAGTAAAAAAATTAAACACACCCTTCTTAACATTACTATTAATTCCCGATTCAAATTTTTTCAGCTTTTTATATCTCCAAGCAATAGTCATCTTTTCTTCCCCCTCATTAGATCTTTCATTATCATCATAACCCACACCACCATCATTTAATTTATCCAATTCATCATCATTAGTTATCCAAGGTAAACCTTTTATAAAACTTTCTGGATTTTCTTCCGCACTAGTAAATAATATGTCATGTCCTGATACAATTCCTTGTGATAAATAATATTTAAGCAATAATTTTGAAAATCCTGTATATCGATCTTCTTTGATTAATAAAATTGTACCAACTGGAATACCACCACCTAAGATATGTTGATATTCATAATTAAGGAATTGTAGAATTCATAAATAAATTTACAAAAAATTTTAATAAAAATTCTTTTATTGTTGATTAAGGATATCATCAAGTGAAGGCACTCCAGTCGAAGTAATTAGTTGTCCGTTATATGAAGATAAACGTGTTCCGGGTGGTAATTTTGATGAATTAATTGTTCCGCTCACACTTTGTGACGCTTTTTTCTTGAAGGAACTGGTAAATGTACTCATAACTAATTTTATGATAATTACAGAAATTGCAAAAATTATCGCACGTGATGCAAACTAAATTTAGCCAATAACGTAAAAAAAAGATCCTTATCCTGAATTCCATTGGTCGATCTACCCAGTATCAAAATATTTTCACTCATAGAAATTTCACCCACGTGCTAAATTCATGGGTTAGGGTTAGGGTTTATCATGGATAGTGTATTTATCACCGTGTCTCACACCCTTCGAATATCAATTTTCATTAAATATTCTTGGGACAGAGATCGTCACCGAATATTCATCACCCTGTAAAAGCAACACGTGAAAAATTCTGATCACCCACCGAATTATGGACCAATCAAATTCAAAAAATAAAAATATCATGTGGGGTGAAAATTTCTATGGGTAAATCCGAGCGTCCTTATTCTTGGACCCCTGGTTCAGGGTGAAATTTATGAACCCCCGGGGTTCAGGCAAATTATTCTAGACCCCATCCTTTTTAGTA